AGAAATATAATAGAACACGACCACGTCCTCGGCGTCTCCACCTCCGTCCGCTTCAACTCGCATCTCATCTCCGTATGGAACAAGCTCGGCTCTAATGAACGGTCCATCAAGGCTCTCGAACAGACTATCATCGATCGATTATCTCCTGAATTAAGACCCACGGGGACAGGTTCCACAGCTTACTTTTATAAGCGGCATGATGAGAATGAGGGGTTTCAGGAGGCTGTGGAGAGGAGTAAGACATGATTGATTCTTTCTTTCTTTCTTTCTTTCTTTCTTTCTTTCTTTCTTTCTTTCTTTCTTTCTTTCTTTCTTTCTTTCTTTCTTTCTTTCTTTCTTTTCAAGGGAAGTTTAAGTAGTTGGTATCCTGAGTAGGTGGTAGAGAGAAGTTGGGATCTCCGGTCATATGACATGGGGAAAGGGGATGGAGCATGTATGTATGTGCATATTAGATTTCGGTCTATGAAACTATAGAGATGTTTTCGAGTGTGGTATTGTTTTATGTTCTGGTTGTGAGTGGAGGAGTAGGAATGGTATATTGTTCTATTTACTTGGTATATAACTACCGTGATAGTAGAGATAGATACTGCTTATAGAATTATTATGTACCTTGCAGCGCTTACTTTCCTACCTAGTGTATACTATGAAGCGTAGACATGAAGACTATACCACAGTAGTATATGCCAGCCGGGTAGTAAGTAGTTCGCCGAACGAACAACTGATGAACGAACAACTTATGAGCAAGGCACTCCGTTCAGATACGATTATGTACTGGGAAGTAGTAATAGTAACAAATGTCTATCCATGAGATTCATTACCTTGGTATATTACAATCGATTATTTCATTTCCATCGTCCCTCCCTCCCTCCATCATCCCATCCTAGGCATATCCCTAGGCATCATATCACCTCCCATCACTCCTCCGACTCACACTCCTCCTTCTCGCCCTCCTATCATCCCCCTCCCTCTCCCTCTCCCTATCCCTCTCTCTATCTCTATCTCTCTCCCTATCCCTATCCCTACCGTTAGTCTCACTATCACGTTCACGCTCACGCTCACCACCACCACCAGTGGCAGTAGTAGCAGCAGCAGCAGTAGCACCAGGAATATACCGATCAATCTCAACAAAGCGTGGTCTATCACGCTCATCTTTCTCCGCTCGTTCCGGCGATCGCACCCTCCGACGAGGAGACCGGCTCCGACGACTAGTGGGCGGCACGTAGCGATCGATATCGAGGAGACTCGGCGAGCGGCGTCGACTGCGTGATCGTCGGCGTGAGCGGGATCGTCGTCGCGAGGATACTGATGGGCGGCGGGGAGGGGATTTCTCGTCTTTAGAAGGAGGGTCGGCGCGGTCGCGGTCTCGGCCTCGATCTCGTTCGCGTTCGGCTGTGTCGCGGGGGCGGGCGTCTCGGTCTCTGTCTCTATCTCGGTCTCGATCTCGGACGTCTCTGTCGCGGTCGCGGTCACGGTCACGGTCACGGTGGACGGAGCGGGAGCGTGTGCGGGAGCGGTATCGAGGTCGTGATCGGGATCGGGAGTAGTAGCTGCGGCGGCGGCGGTAGTCGTCTCGGTCGCGGTCACGGTCACGGTCTCGAGGCCTGTCGCGGTCTCTGTCTCTGTCTCTGTCTCTATCTCTATCCCGGTCTCGGTCCCGGTCCCGGCGATCTCGGTCTCGATCACGGCTGCGGTCGCGGCGGTAGTCATGGTCGCGGTCGCGGTCACGGTCTCTGTCATGATTTCGAGTAGTAGATCTGCTTCTGCTCCGGCGGCTGGGGCGATAGCTCCGGTCACCGTATCTGTTGTCGCGGAAATCGCGAAGAACCAGTCGGTCATCCGAGTCACGATTGCGGGGCTGGCTGGATACATCGCGCGAACGCTCTGGACGGTCATCGTCAAAGCGGGAAGAGAACCTCCGTCGTGAGCGACTGCGGCTCTCATCGCGCCTCTTTGTCCGGGGGCGATCGTCCGCTGTTGATCCACGTCGTCGATTGGGCTCGGCCTCGACAGCTGGACTACCTGCTTTGGTCGGCGTGTTGGAGAATCTCGAGTCAGCCTTGGGTCCTTTCGGGGGCGGCTTGAGACCATTTTCGATGGCCTCCGCTTCCTCAAAGTCGAACTCGGGCTTCTGTCGTGCCTTGGCTGCCAGCTCTTCTCCCTCCTTCAGCAACAATTGTAGCGCCGCCTCTTCCAACGATTTCTCGTCCACTGGCGGCGCCGCTGGCGCAGCTGCAGGCGTGGGTTCTTTCGGTGTCGGTGACTTTTCTTTGCGCGAGTCGCGATACCGTGGGGAATGGGCGCGGTCAGAGCGATAGCCTGGCGAGCGATCTCGGTAGCGGTAACGATCCCTATCCCTATCCCTATCACGATCTGAATCACGGTCTCGAGTTCGGCTTCGATCGCGCCAATCGCGATATCTGTCGCGCTCTTCGCGGCGGCGGCGTTCGTAGCGTTCCTGTCGTTCCTTTTCTCTCTGCTCATCCAGCTTTCGCTGCTCTTCGCGGCGCTGTTCCTCGCGCTCCCTCCTCCTGGCCCTTTCTTCTTCTTCTTTCTGGCGTTCCATCTCACGTCGCTTGCGATCCTCCTCCGCCTTCTTGCGCGCTTCCTCTTCTTCAATTTCCTTTTGCTTGCGCAACTCTTCCTGCCATACCTTCTCGCGCTCGTCGCGTTTCGCCTTCACATGAGCGGCGTAGTCCTCATCGGTTTTGTTCCCTGCGGTTTCCTCCTGCGCAGCAAGCTCCTCGCCGACTTCATCGCGACGGATATCGCGCACGGAATCCAGAATAGCGGGGAGGTGTTTCTCAGCCAGCGCATCAAGAGTATGTTCGACAGTTTTGTAGACATCGCTTCGATCAACGGCACCTTCGATTAAAGTTGCAGCTTTTCCACGTTCGCGAGAAAGAAGACCGGGTTCGCGGTCGATTTCAGATTCAGCGAGTTCGATCAGTAGCTTCGTAAACTCAGCTTTCCCTTCCTATATAACCAAGGCGCATTAATTAGCAAACAACACACCCTCACCCAGAAAATGAAACAACAGCAATAAAATAACTATCAAAGATAAAGTAAATACCCCATCATGGAATTCAGACCATATCTTCTTCCGAATAGTATCAAATCCACCCCTCTTCTTGAACGCGTGCAGTAAATGCTCAATGGCCGAATGCTGCGCCGCGGACAAAGGCAGCTCATCCGTCTTGAACTTCTTCCGCTGCAGACTGTCCAGATCCATAGAAGAAGACGTAGTAGGCCGCTTCACACCTGCTGTCACATCCATCATCTCCTCTGGACCAGCCATGACGAGAGACTGAGAGATGTAACAAGCTTGGAACAAAACTTCAAGCTTGTGGAATATTAGAATAGAGGCTTTTGAGAAAAAAGGAACTGAACTTCCGGGGATAAACCCGCAAATGCGGCGCGGCGCAGGACCGACCAAAAGGCACCGACCGCCCGGCAGAAACAGTCCACCCACGGCGGAATGATAATCCGGACAACAGGAAACGCAGATTGGGAACCACGGCCCCGTGATTCGCCGGGTGTGTGAAGGTCGAACCTCATCTCCGTCCATTCAAGCCCGTGTTGGTCCGCAATTGTTGTCGTGAAGTTGAACATTGGAACCTTATTGCGGCTTCCGATCAATTTCCATTCTTTTAATTCTACCTTCCGCCGCGAATCCCCCTCTTTTCCTCCACATCAATCATGGTTCACAAAGTCCTCTTCTGGGGCGGCTTCGGTATGCTCACCACATCCACACCACCCACCCTTGCTATACCAGCATGCAACTGCTAGCTAGCTAGCTAGCTATATCTCACCCGGTCCCCTTATATCCAATTGCTCGCTATGCCATACCGCGCGTACTAATAATTACTCCAACAGGCATCGCCGTCCGTCTCTGGCAACTCGGTATCGAAATGCGTCCCATCCTCGCCAAGGAGTCCCTCTGGGTGTACCCCCTCTTCGCCGGAGTCGGAGGCAGCTTCGGTTACTGGCTGCAGGGCGTCGAGAACCGTCAATTGAGAATTCTTGCACAGCGCCGGGAAGCTATCCTGGAGAAGCGCCGGAGGAGAGATGAGCGCGAGTCGGTGGGGTTGAGCAAGCCTGAAGAGGCGGGTGTTTTGGCTGCGGCGGCATAAATGAATGTGATGTTGTTGCGATGATGAAGGATAGGAAAGAATCGTGGTTGGTTGGGTGCTAGAGCTGGCCGGAAAACTGAGGCTTCTGTACATTGCGTTTGTTGTGAATTCTATTATATTACATTATATCATTCATTTCCTGCGTCGCGGTGGTGGTGGTGGTGTTTTTGGCGGTTTCTGAGGGATTGGAGGGTGGAAGGCTATGGGAACTGGTCCGAAGGCCTGGATCTAGGCTTGATGGTATTTGACTGGTGAAGGGAGATGGATATAGATGTATGCCAGGTGTCTTACTTATGTCGGTTGTATTGTCTAGAGAGGTATTGGGGGTAGGGAGGTCCTCTGATAATTGCAGAATGATTCTATCGTTATTTAAACCTATGGGTATTCGCGAGTGTACTGTTCATAGATAGAATAACCCTTCCACTGCCGTGTTGTTGCCGATATAGATAGCACGGGAGCAGATCCATTCAGCCTAAGTAACGCCATTTTGCCTCGGATGACTCTTTGGAGAATCGGCTATAAACGCACTATTAAATATTATAGTAGTGATTGCTGCCTACGGAGAGGTTGGAAGTTCTGGAGAAGAAACACAGTCTATTTCCGGTACCAGGGATCTACTCCTAAAGCGAGGACACAGACAGCATGATACCATTCCCAGTAAAACGTATAATTATTCCGATATATCTTCATTGAAACCAAATATGATCGTATATGTACAGCAAGACAACTGCCAGCTCATGCCTTCTCGGCCGTGAACTGCAGCGAGACTTCCCACTTCTGCCCTCCAGATCCGTACCCTCCACCCAAGCGATTCTTGATGAGGCTGGCTATCCGTTCACGCAATCGCACTAGGTTCTCTTCCGTTCCGGATACTCGGAGCTTCAGGTTAGCCATGCAGAGCCCGTAATGAACCTGCCAGAACCGGGCGTCATCGACGCCGTAGACGCAGGGATCAGCCTCGATATCCCGGATCACCTCGGACACTCCGGGTCCGGAGTAGGACATGAGAAGCATGGATCCCAGTGTTTTCACTAAACGCACTCCAATAACACACATTGAGATGGAGATCGTGCTGGAAAGCAAAACATCCAGCCAGTTGTAGAGCTTGATAGAAACCAGGGGCAGCAATAGGAGCAGCGTGGAGCATGAGAGCGTCAGAAAATGGGACGGGTTACTGAGTACCGAGGGAAGCGACTCAATATACCCGAACCGCATCGCCTTCCCTATGCGTCCGTGGTTCTTGAGGCCAATGGCAGATATCAAGGTCGATGAGATGGCCAGCAGAGCAGTGAAATCCACACGACCGAGGGAGACACGCTCGTGGACATGAGTGTGGTGAGGTTCATGGCCGGAAGATTCAAGAAAATGTTGCAGACTATGGGAAATGAGATCCATTCCCATGAACAGCAAGAGTACGCACATGGCGAATCCTGCAAGCACCTCGGCGCGCTCTAGCCCGAACGGGTGTCGAACACTGGATCGCTTCCATACTTCAAAGTTGCCCAGGATGTCGACAGCAACGCAGAGCAATGCACCGATTGAATCGAACAGTATCAAGTGCGAAAGGGCCGTCATAGCCAATGATCCATGAGCACTCCATAGCGTGTATGCGGCAACAGACATGTGGCAAACGCTCCACCAGAACCGGGTAGTCTGGTCCTTGGACATACTGGAGCGGTATTCTTTGAACGTCGGTATAGGCAGCGAGTTAGGCAAAGCTAGAGGGGCTCGTGGGGGCGGTTCCAGGAAGATCTGATGTGAAATGCTACTGTGCTTATACTTGTGTCCACGTCGCTGGCCAATGTTCTACGTCGCATTGACGGCTTCATTAGTATATTCATCTCCAAGCTGGAAGTAAGCGACGACTTACAGACTTCACGACTGGGCTCTTCGCCATTGTCGTAGTCTTGAAATTGAACGGTCCCGCCGAAGCATTGTCGCTCTGATCACTAGGTTGTAATGCGTCTGCTGGGCTGAGGTTGAAGCCCGCCCGTGTAGGACTCAAGCGATTCGCATCACTGGGATCTAACGAACCCCGCAAATTTGGAAACGTGTCCCTCAATGGTGATAAGGAGTCTTTGTCTTGGAGACGGGGTGACTGGCTTGAAGTGCTCGGAGGGTCATCCGGGGGAGGCGTCGGGGTGCGCGGAGGAATAGGGATAGGGAGATTGGATGCCATGTTCAGATGACGGCAAAGAGCTGGCACCCGCGCCAAATGGCCTCGGTGCTAGCTCGAAGAAAGTCGCGTTACACGTGCGAAACACGCGCAAAAGTGTATAGAGGTGAAGTATGGAGACAAGCAAGGGCCTGAGGTCGGGAATGTTGCGGGATAGCCTTATCACTCCAGGCCTCGTCGGTTGGCTTTCGGCCCCATCCGAGGTGGAGGGGGACTCACCGCCCGGCCGGCGCATTCCCAGGGCAGTACTATGCATCGCGGTACAACTTGTATAGTTAGGTGTACCAATTGATGGAGACCCCTGCTTTCGTAGGACTTGATAGTGTAGGTAGTATCGATGTAGACGATAGCATCGTAGTTATTATATTACAGGCTCCTATAGTTCATATTATTTGGTTCAAGTAATTGCGACTTCTGCTGCGGTACCTCTAGTGGTAGACTCCATCCTCATTGAACACAAGTCTTAGGGCATAGAAATAGGCCATTCGTTCTATAAAGCCAACAATGGCTATGGCAGACCAATAACAGTGATATCGTATATTCTTATAACCGCAGGCAGCCTCTTGTTGAATAAGAGGGCCCGCCGATAGCGGCATGACGTAGCCAGCTCTCTAGACAGTCATTATGTGGTGAAAACATAACCATCCACACACAACAATCATACCCAATGAAACCCCAAGACAAAAGAAAACAGTTCAAATGACTTAACAATCATAATAAATTTGACGCCATGCACAGAAGCGGCGGCGCGCATATAATCCGAACCCAGACTTTGAGCAATCCATCCATTCAAATACTTCGTGACCCACACACGCACTCACACACATATCTCGCTTACTCCTCATCAATAGTAGCCTTGTAGGCAGCCTCGTCCAGCAGTCCGTCCAACTCCGCGGCATCGTTCACCTTGATCTCCGCAATCCAGGCATCACCCTCAGGGCTCTGGTTGATGAACTTGGCATTGTCGTCCAACACAGCATTGCCCTGCGTAACAACGCCCGAGACAGGCGAAAGGACGTCCGATGCGGACTTGACGGACTCGACAGCACCGACGGGCTCACCGGCGCTGACCTCCAGGTCGACCTCGGGGAGCTCCACAAACACAACGTCACCAAGAGAGTTGGCAGCGTACTTGGTGATTCCAATCTTCGCTGTAAATGGTAGATGAAGGCGTTAGTGGCTAGTTGAGGGTAGTTTGGCCGGGGAAAGCTGTGGTGGACGAACCAGTCTTGCCGTCCTCGGCGAGCTCGATCCACTCATGCGACTCAGTGTACTTCTTCAATTGAGCTGTTGGGGGTCATCTATCAGCTTTGAATCCAATCTAGGGGGTCTGAAAGCCCTCATGCGACTGAAATCTAGGGGGTTGCTCACAAAGTGGGCTCTGGGAGAAGCTCCGGACACTTCCCCGCGGGAAACTGGCGGGTGCGGCCCTGCAGACGGAAGAGAGGGGGAGCTTCTGCGACAGGACGCGAGAAGCGAAGGGGCGGAGGGATCTAGCGGCGAAAGACATGGTAGGCAGCTGAGGTTGAGGGGAGAGAAGAGGGAGAGGAGAGAATCCGGAAATGTGAAGAAGTGTGAGTTGAATTGGAGAGAGAAAGGAAGAAGGAAAGAGGGAAGTAAATTAAATATGAATGACGGAGGAGAGAGCGATTCCCGGCGCTGATAGCGGGCGCCAAGCCGGGTGCTGATAAGGAAGTCGAGTTCGAGCCTCCGCAAATGACCTTCGGAAAAATCTCATCCCCTTCCAGTTCCGTGTTTGGTTCTCCGTCGTCCTTTACGTTCCCCGACGCTATTTTCACAGTCCAGACCCCACTCCACATTGTCGGCGCCATGTTGTACGAACTGATTGCTGTTGTATGTTTCCAGGCCATTCTGTTTGGTGATTTCTATTACATGCATCGAATCGCTGCTAATTGATGACTGCAGGTCCGTCCCGGTAGCCTCCAGGAGGTTAGAGAGTACGTGCCTATCGACCCTATTTGACCACCTCATATTCTCACGCAACATCCTGCTATCGCCAAACCATCATTTTGAACGGGCTATCACTGACAGACGACAGCATCGCCCGCAATGCCGGCATCCAGGTCCTCCGCTCCGGCGGCGTAGTCCGCGGATTCACCAACTGGGGCACCTTCCGTCTCCCCAGGCCCACGACGAAGCATCAGGCCCGCTACAGGGAAGGCCACCACTTCATCATGCGTTTCGATGCCTCCGGTCCCGTACAATCGGCTGTCCGCAGAACTCTCGGTCTCGATCCCCGGATGGTCCGATTCTCCGTTGTCAAGCTGGGCGACAAGCTGGAGGAAATCAAGCACGTCGATGGCAAGGTCGAGTGGAACAACAACCGCACCATCTCCGAGACGTTCTAAGTGTGATTCGAATGTGATGTGGATTGGTTGCAGTTATGCGATTGTGCGTCGTTCGGGACACGGAAAATGATTTAATTGTCAATGTATTATTTATGGGATGGGTTTCTTTGTATATCATATCAGCATTATCGGCGCATATACCTTACTTGGCAGATTTGGTCAATAAAGATGGTGATCTGTTTCTTTTGTGCATTTGTGTCAATATGCATTCATGACGGTTGAGCATTGGATTATCCCATCTCGGAATTTACGAAATACTCCAGATGACGGAGGTGTAACCATGACGCTTCGAGGAGCGTATGTCTATAGTTATAGAAAAAGAGAAATCTGTGATATTTGCTACATCAGCTCCCAATCTACCGGAATCACTTCATTTTTACCGGGTTACACTGCAGCACGGATCCTTGAAACAGCGATATACGCAAGGAATGGAACAATGATGATCCAGACTTACCCCAAGCATGAGCACTGCAAAACACATAAAGGGATAATCGGCACAGCCTTGCCATATGGGGAGCATACCAGGAACGGCACCATGTTGATCATCGAATATGCTTCACGGGTAGCCAACCAACTCCGCCCGGTCAGCCGAGGCTCTGGTGAACCATGTCGGCTAAATGAGTAGTCAGTCGATAGACTCAGCGCCAACATACAATCCCACTTTCACCCTTATCTTGCTCCCATATGAAGAGTAAAGGGGCGCAATCTCTAACATAACATTCCTGCTGTTGCACTGTATAGTGGATATACTACAGATTGAAGCAGGCAGGCATCACCAGTCATTAGTACATACATCCCAGGAGGAGCATACCCCTCACGCATACACCACCGCCATCAACAACATCAGCAGCAGCAGCAAATAAGCCCAACCATACACCCTCCCACATTATACATACACACAATGCATGACCCTACATCCAACGAAAGCCCATCCTCCTGGGCAGAGCTAATGGCACTCCGTCGCCTCCCCAACCCACCCAGCAGCAGTACCACGGAGCCCACCGAACGATTCGCATCCATAGCACCACCCTATCCACCAGGCGAAGGAACCCGTGCCTTCGGTGGACATGTCTACGCCCAGGCTGCCTACGCAGCATCTCAAACCGTAGAGAAGGGGTTCGTGATCCATGTAAGTGCCTACCTGCTCACCCCTTAAAAGCACACACTAACACCAAAAACACAGAGCGTAAGCGGAACATTCATCCTAGGAGGCCTCCTAGACGTTCCATACGAGTACACAGTGCGCCACCTGCGCGACGGGAAGATGTACTGCACGCGGTCCGTGGACGTACGACAAGCGAACCAGATCTGTTTCTCGTGCTTATGTTCCTTCAAGCGGGGGGAAAGTCAGAGCGGGTTTGCGCATCAGCCTGCGCCGGTGCAGGAGCGGTATGCGTCTGTTATCGCTGGACGGAGAGCGGAGGAGTACCCCGTTAGTCCAAGCGTGGATGCAGATTGGTGGATTGAAGGGGTGAAGGCTGGCGATCTGACGGAAAGGGAGTTCCCTGGGGTGGATGCGCGAAAGGTTGATATGGGGACGTTCAATCAAACGGAGGATGTGAAGAGTCATCCAGAAAAGTATCGCCAGTTGGCGATGTATTCGATCAAGGGGCTTCCAATAGTTGGTGAGGAGGAAAGGAGGGTGAGGGAGAGGGAGGAAGCGGGAGAGTTTGATAACTTGTATGCATGCGCGCATATGTATGCTTGTGATAGGAATTCGTTGTTGTTGATTCCAAGGGCGCTGGGAAAGAAGAGGTGGTCGTCCATGGCGAGTTTGACGCTTACGGTTGTGTTTCATGAACTGGGGGAGGCATTGCGGATGCTTGATTGGGGTTCTGAGGGGAATGGGTCCCCGGGGAAGAAGTGGTTCATACAGGAGGGGTGGACTCCTAGGTCTGCGGAGAATAGGGCAGTTCATGAGAGTTGGTTGTGGACGCCGGATGGGAAGTTGTTGGCTACGAGTTATCAGGATAGTTTGTTGCGGTTGACGAGTTCGCGGGGGAAGCTTTGATAAAGTTGGGGTGCATAATGCTTTATAGATGTATGGGGCATTGTACAGGTGTTACATAGATACAATAAAGTATATAGTCGTTTGCATTTATCCATATTTTCAGACTGGCCGCTAATTGTTGTTTGATTGTGTCTGCTAGGGGAGTCGTCTTCATTTATCATGGTGATTTAGGTTGCCCGTGATTAATGGCATGGCCTGTAGGATCGAGCACTGGTCTACAGGATCATGGAGATCGAAACACTGTTATTAATGATTTTCAGTTTGTTAAGCCGCATTATACTCATACTGAAAGGCTTCTGGGGTTTTGCGCACGAGTTCTGCATTAAGAGTTGAGTGTATAAAATGTACTCTATCGCATATGGGTAGATCAATATCAATGAGACTGCAGCAAGGACAGGAGCGGAATACCAATAAAATACTAGTATTCAAATCCAGCTATTATGCCCTTTGATCATAGCGTCTTGCCGCATATAGGGTTCAGCACCCTGGACACACGTGGACGCTCGAAGTGGGTTGTTCGGCAGTATGAATCCGTTGCAGCTGTGTCCGGACTTGGGCCATGAGAAGGCTCAGATAGCATGTTATTGCTTAGTACTGTTCATGATCATATAGTATCCTTGTCACAATGATGTTGCTTTCTTCATTAAAGTTTATGAAGGTCTCCATTGCGGTGTCAGGAACCATGGTATTATACTAGCCAAGTGTAAGTATATATATAGGGCGATCGGCTATTGAAATGACATGTTCTGCCGCAACATCAGCTTCCATAGCTGGCAGGAAACAGTCCAATATAATAATTCATATGTCCTACAACTTGATCACTAACGTTGTGTAGGCATATATCACTTAAGCCTTCCGATGCCTGGTGATTAGAGTCAACTGTCAGCTATATTCCACATTGACAGGCAGTAGTAAGATAATCCAATGAAAGCAAGGCAAGAGTTGCACTCCGTCTCATTTCATCAGTGGTACCAGGGTCACAAAACGTCTTATAGGTAGTAAAAGTGGTGAATGTGCAATGGTGATTCAATGTAAATGTACCTGTCACGTGGCCGGGGTACCCGATGACGTAGCTGCCTATTTCAGGCCGACCGAGATCTTCCTCTTCTCGCGCCTCTCCACCTTTTCGCTCAGTCCACCCATTCTACGGGCGTACTCTCAGTTAGTCGTACAAGTACTCGATATTGAAAAAGGGGGGAATGTACCTTCCGGGTTACCCGGTGTGATACAATGAAGAAGACGCTGCTCTTAGTGTTTATCCATGGCTTCAAGGTACCGTGTGCATGCTCCACCCATTCCCAGCCAGCCCGTCTCCCTCCCTTGAGGCTGCACGTGCATGGACCCTGCGGGAATGTATACTCTGAACCTCACTAACACCCTCAGGGAGACGACGATACGTTTGGAGAGTTTCCAGGGCGCTTTTGTGGTCTGATTAGTCGTACCCTCCCCGCTGTCCAGGTCGTCGCCACTGTTTACCCGAAGTATGAGACTCGAGGCGAGCTAAAAGGATGCGTAAGTAACTTTCGGGAATGGTACGTCTAGTAGCCCATGCGATTCTTTCCGAGTGGATGGAGCGTGCCATTGACCGTCATAGGCTTCAGAACAAAGTCATCGACTTGGAGGTCTCGAACCGAACGGCTTCACCGACAGTTGACCCTTCTGTGCATGTTATCCTGCTTGGGCATTCTATGGGTGGAATAGTGGCTGCCGAGACCCTTCTTCTGCTTGCATCGGAACAGCCGATTCCTGCACCGTCTTCTGCAGATTCTGCAACCGACACCCTAGTGGATTCTGAATCTGCCGCGGGGGCGCAATCTTTCATGTTTCCTCACATTCAGGGTGTTATCGCATTCGACACTCCTTTTCTAGGCATTGCCCCAGGTGTCATATCATATGGTGCAGAAGGTCATTACCGAAATGCCACTACGGCGTACACCGCGATATCAGAAGTTGCCGGCTTGTTCGGCCTAGGCGGGAATTCCTCGAATAAGGCATCTACCGATCAGGGAAAAGCTTCCAATAAAAGTCTACCTCCTTCGGCTCCTAGCTCATCCTCGAATGCAGATGCTGCCGCGACACCATCATGGCAACGGTGGGGCAAATATGCCATGTTTGCAGGAGCTGCAGGAGCATTGGCTGCGGGCGGGGCGGCCGCGATGTATTCACAGCGAGACCGACTGACGGATGGTTGGGGCTGGGTATCATCCCACCTGTCATTTGTGGGTTCTTTAGCACGGCCTTCTGAATTACGGAGGCGCCTTGCACTCCTTGCCGAAGTCCAAAGGGACCGAGGTATCGGCTGCACTAATTTCTATACGTGCTTAGGCCAGAATGCAAGTGATCTAGTGGAGAACAAGAACGTCGGGACATCGTCGTTCAGCCAGAAGATTATACGCTCGAAGAATCGCACTTTCTGCTCGCTTCCCGCGGAAGTAGAAAGTTCGGGGTCTTCCCAACAAGACATCCGATGGGCCAGGGCCGTGAACGATAAAGCTGCAGATGAAATCAAAGCACACATTAGCATGTTTTTGCCGAACGAGAATCCAGCCTTTAATTTACTCGTGTCTGATGCATGCAAAGTGCTGGTGGAGTCGGTTGACAAGGGCTGGTACGCCACGGCCACAGGGCCAATTGAAGAGGTGGACGGGAACATGCCGCGGTCCGACGATGACCGTAGCAAAGACCAGACTGATAGCGGGTTCATGGACGGGGACGACGTTGTAGTCGTGGAATGAAAAGGAAGTAAAGGAAAAAAAAAAAAAAAGGCAAAATAAGCCTGAGACATGAACGCACTATGACCCTTTCAAAACCAAAACAATATAGCCAAGCGGACTTGTCTCTTGCCAAATCGATACAGATCGCGGTCCCTCGACACCCGCATCGGCCTAATCCTCCAATCACCGAAGCCAGAAGGAAGAAAAAAGAATCCCTTCCAGAGCAATCCTTGCAATCGACAGAAAGCGGATTATTCCACGTAATCTGTTTCACCCGTTGCAAGGAATTGGGTTAAACAGACGTGTGGCTGAAGGACGAGGGTCCGATCACCTCAAGTCAGACTACGACTTAGTACTAGACT